GCTGCTCGGACTGATCAAATATTATCTTCTATATATCATATTTATCAGTCCGAGCAGCGTTTATTTATTTATAAACTACACTCATGGCCTAGGCATGCTCCTTTCAGGAACAATTCACTCAGCGCCTAGACATGCTCCTGTCAGAAACCATCAACTCAGAGCATAGGCATGCTCCTGTCAGAAACCAATCACTCAGGGCCTAGGCATGCTCCTGTCAGAAACCATCAACTCAGAACCATAGGCATGCTCCCGTCAGAAACCATTCAACTAGGGCCTAGGCATGCTCCTGTCAGAAATCATTCACTCAGGGCCTTCGCAACACTCCTGTCAGAAACCATTCAACTAGGGCCTAGACATGTTCCTGTCAGAAACCAATCACTCATGGCATAGGTATGCTCCTGCCATAAACCAATAACTCATGGCCTAGGCATGCTCCTGTCATAAACCATTCACACACAGCCTAGGCATGCTCCTGTCAGAAACCAATCACTCAGAGCCTAGGCATGCACATGTCAGAAACCAATCACTCAGAGCCTAGGCATGCTCCTTTCAGAAACCATTCTCTCAGAGCCTAGGCATGCTCCTGTCAGAAACCTATCACTCAGAGCCTAGGCATTCTCCTGTCAGTTACCATTCTCTCACAGCCTAGACATGCTCCTGTCAGAAACCATTCTCTCAGAGCCTAGGCATGCTCCTTTCAGGAACCATTCTCTCAGAGCCTAGGCATGCTCCTGTCAGAAACCTATCACTCAGAGCCTAGGCATGCTCCTTTCAGGAACAATTCACTCAGCGCCTAGGCATGCTCCTTTCAGGAACAATTCACTCAGGGCCTAGGCATGCTCCTTTCAGAAACCATTCTCTCATAGCCTAGGCATGCTCCTGTCAGAAACCAATTTCTCAGAGACTAGGCATATTCCTGTCAGAAACCATTCACTCAGGGTCTAGGCTAGCTCCTGTCAGGGACGAACCAGTCATGCTTACTGTCGCTTTTCTTCCACCTATGCACTGATATTGATACACATGAAGTAGAAATATCAGTTTACTTCACAGCTTGCTGAGCAACTCTGACATGTTTATGACAGCTTTCTAAACTTTATTTATATTAACATTTTCTTGGTTCAAAGCAAGGTCAACTTTATGTATTTAATGCTAAATATACATACTTGTTTATCCTAGGACAAATCAGTAGCAGGTTGTGGTCAATTGAGATGTCATTCTTAAGTATATGACTACATGTATCATCAATTACCCAGGCCTATGTAATGCATGTTTATTTTTAGTAACAGCAGATATTGGCTATTAAAATATAATTATTAGTTTATGTTAACTTCAATTCAGTCTACAATATTGATATGAATCCAAATGGGAGAGGGGGGGGGGGCATTCTTATCATGTCTAACTTAGTGACTCAAAGGTGGTACATTCTGATACGTTTATAATAAATTATCTGTAATGCAGGATTTGTGCATGTACAGCCAATTTGATTGTTTAATAATATATTGTTGTGGCTATGTTTTTTATTTTTTATTTTTCAAATACTGTATTTGTTCATTATTGCATTAGAAAATTAATTAAAGGGCTGTTGATAATATATATTTTTGTATGGACATCAGAAATTCCTCCTTTTTTTTCTTCTACAGATTTGACATTTAATTTAAAAAAAAAATATATTACCGTAGTTGGAAACTATTGTACAGATCAATGTATTCTGACACATATACTTGTAATTTTAATACAAATGACTTTGCACCGGTACCGTAGACAAGTAATACTTTGAAAATCAGGAAATGGACATGTTGCAGCAGTCTCTGTGCTAATGTTTGTGTAAAAATGCTTTCATTAGCTTTGAATTACGTGACTGCCTTTATAATTTTTAAATGGCCGCCCGTGTGAGTTAAAAATGAAATGGCAAAATGGTTTCTATGGATACAAGCTTGGTTTCTTGACATGCATGTTGCTTGTTGACAACAGTGACTTGAATAATATTACTTTATTCATAAAATCACGTCATTATTTCTCAGATATTTTATTGATATTGTTACAAATCTTGTAAAACTGCACGTGACACACAGTCTGATATTACAAATATGAGCGGATTATGTTTGAGACTAAAGTTCAGGCTCATTAATCATGGATGATATAAATGACTAAATTTAGAAATGAATAATGGTTGCCGGGGAGTATAATAAACTAACCGCAATTAATACACTTGTGAAATATTGTAGACAGTGTTAAGATTTTGCATCATGTACACTTTTCCTCGACTTCTACCATGTAACGAACATATTCTCACAGTTAGGTCGTTGTTAAGACATCATATCTTCATAAACTATGCATAAACTATGCATAAATTATGAATATATTTTTTTCTCTCTGTTGTGCAACATTGCTGCGATTGTAATTCAATATCGCTCATGTCTGTTTCAGCTGTTCTCGATGTACATGTATCATCATGTTATAACAGATATATTTAACTGCACAAAAAGGCTGCTGTTTTTGTCTTAAGGAAATGGTTTTGGCATTATTGACTATATTTTGTATAGTCTGTGAAACGTGTGGAGTTTACAACTGTAATAAAAATTATATTAACTATCATAGTAGTTTTTCGTTTTAGTTTGCCCTGATTGAGTTTCACTGCAATTTTCTGAATTATAATGCACTGTGATAATGTGATTTACTTATTGTACTCTAATTAAATTGCAGCAATTTAATTAATTATTTATCATCTGCATGTATATATTTACTCAAAAACTTGACGTAGTTCCCAGGTGATGAAAATTTGAAATAAAATATCGTCTCCTTTATAAAAAAAATTAAAAAGTATCAGATATTTTTCACTTGATAAAATTACTATAATAATAATAATTAAGCAAGCTATGATTATTATCATTTTCATGAGAGTACATCAAAGAGAAGCTTAATTTTCGTTTGGTGAAATAATCACCCAGAGTGCCTCCTGGCAGGCTTGTAGAGACACTATCCTGTGTGCATACTGCTTGTACGAGTACACTGGAAATTGATTTTAGTTCAATGTCCCTCACTGTCAATGACGATCATTAGCTCCATTAGTTGTGAGCTTGCCCTGTGAATAACAAACACTGGTGGTATTTGTTTTTGCTTACATTCAGGGGAAAAGAAAACTCTTTAGTTTATTTTCTTTATTACATACACACACACACACATGTAGACTTGACAAACCCAAGTGTTATCTATCCTAATAACTGACATGTCAGACGGCCAAGAAGGCTCAAAACAGTTTCTCTGTCCATTCGTCTGTCCAACCGTCTGTCCGTCCGCAATTACACGTGCAGGTGGTCATGTTTAGTTGAAACTTTGTGAGTCATTTTATGAATATTTAAGTCAAGGTAAATAGTAAAACAAAAATTCACAGGTATATGTTTGTTATTTTTTTATTAATTGTGAGAGTAAGATGAGTTATAAATAATGTTTTTTTCTTTTCTTTGTTATTTTTAGTAAATTCATAAACGTAAAGATTATTGATGATGAAGAATATGAGAAAAATGAAAATTTCTACGTGGAGCTTGGAGAGCCTAGGTTGGTCAAGAGAGGACAAGGTAATCAATGCTTATAAATCAAACCAGGACTTTAAAATTGCGTCCGAGCGTAGACTAGAATTCTATTGCAGCTTTTTGCATACATGCTATTTGTTGGTAATTGATGATACCATATCTTGCAAATACAAGTTTTTAAATCACGAAAATTGACTAAGTCGTTTACTTGAGATCAATTTTCACTGTGATCATTTTCAGAAGAATGAATAGAAATAAATTTAATTAATACACATTTTCGGTTGGAGATTGGATAAATTTAAGTGTTTGGAAATTGAATTAATCATTTTTCTGTTTCATTCTTCCACAAATGGACACATTTTGAATGAAAGTTCATGCCTGGGCTTAGTGCTGTTGCAGCGCACATACGATGAAAGCATGCAACAAAATATAGCTATGTACTTGTGACTGTATTACCTGCCATTGATTTTCAGTTAGTTGATACTCTAATATTTATAGCTGTTATACCATGCATGTACACCCCCCCCCCCCCAATCCTTACATGTTTGTGTTCACTTTAGATCCAATGTTTTTTTTCTTTTTGTCCAAAAGTCCCTAAGAGTAAGAAATTTCACTTATTCGGTAAAGGTGGGTATGATGTTATTTGAATTACAATCACATTTTATTGCTTTTGTGGCAGTCTATTCACCGTCTGTGATAACAATGTCATAACTCATTTTCTTATATTTATACATACTGTTTTATTACGTTTTATGGTTGCAGAAAATTCACAAGCAATTCGTGGCTCAAATAATTGTTTTGGACAAACATCATAGTGTAGGTTATATTTCAAAAGTTTAGTTGCTTATTTATTAAATTGATTTTATACAGGTAGATAATTTCATTATCATGTTTGTCCGTGTTTATGCACCAAATAGTTATTTCCGCTGAATTGTGAAGTTTATTTATTTCCAGAGCAGCACTCAGTAATATGAATTTCTGCAATCATAGAACTGTAGGTTGAAAACTACAAAACATGTAACAATCGCAGTGACCCTTGTGGTTAAATTATTTTTAGTGGTCCGCTTCTCGGGCCGCTGATCTGTGACTCTTGGGTCATAAACAAGTTTTATAGTGTACATCAAAAACTATGGGTAATACATACAATATATACACTGAGAGATTTTAATATCCAGGATGACTCTGGGTCACTGACTGCGTTCTTTGCGTGTTCACTACTTCAGTTTTTGTTTTCTGTTTTCTGACACTAAAATATTGTTGTGAGTAATACTGTCTAGAGTGTATTATTGGGATTCTTATTTGTCACGTGTGTTATTTACATTGAAGAGATATTGAGACGAGAGATAAAAAAAGTGTTTTTTTAAAACATTTAATCTTTATATGAAATATAATTTGTGTCAATTAATTTGCTTTTTTCATCATTTTCACTGAATTCATTTTTAATTTTGGACCAAACAGCAAAAAAATGTGACATTACTTCTAGAATTTGATAAAAAAAATTGACATTTTATGGATGATGCTCAAAAGAGTAAAGTAAGTAGTGATAAAGGAATGATTTGATACGATTCAGGTATTTGTTTTCATACTTTTAAAATGTACATTTAATGTCAACATCAACAAAAGCAGGTTCAAAATCTGAGATTAAATTGTATTATTACCTTAAACTGCGAGCTAAAATCTAATTACACCTGAGAGTTAAAAGTTCAAGGCTTGAAATAAAAAAAAAAAAAATCCACTGGGGATTTCTAGTTGCTGGCATGTCATCAGGTTTGTCAGCATTACATTTTAATATTACCATACATTTTTGGCAACTAAAATCACAGAAAATGATACTTTTCCTCATCCCCTACATTTTATAATGGAGATTATTGATATGCAAAGCGTAGGAGGAGATTGATTCTATATATAGGTGCGATTTAAAACATTTTACTCTATTGAATGTTAACATTTTATTTTAATGGCCACCATCTGTAAGTGACTTGAATAATAACAATTTAAGAAGACGAAAAAAATGGTGTAGAAAATAGCATGTATTTGTTCAGCTTCATTGATGGCAGTGTTCAGTGCAATGCAACTGTATTCAAAACAGGTGGCAGACACCTACACGGATCGTATTTCACTAGCAAAGGATGTACTGTAAAAGGGTTAATTATTCACTGGGTTTTAATTTCGCTTATTTCGCTGACTGGAAAATGCGCTAAATTAAAACCCAGTGAATATGTAAAATTTAGCATAGAACACATTATCTAAATGATAAAACCGTGAATTTAAAACCCACTGAATAAGCCAAAAATGGTAAATCAGCGAAATTTAAACCCAATGAAAATTTAGTCATTTTACAGTACCTGGGTATCTTATGATAATCCACATAATGGATGGTACCATCCCATATTAGGATTCTATAAATAGAACATGGGAAGATATCCCCTCTGAATGGACTTCATTCATCTCAACAGGGAAAGTATGTAGCACCATGCATAGTGTTTCCAGTCACATAGTTTGTTGTTTTCTGTTACTCCAAAATTAATATATACTTCATACTTCTGCTTAGCAAATCATCGTCCTTCAGTGCAGATTAATAGCATAGTTTAACAAAGATGAGTAAAATTAAGTGTTTCTGACTTGGCTGATAATTTGACCTCTGTAAATGTGAAAAGAAACGAGATTTTCAGATGCTGTTATTGGGATTGGTTTCTTCTTTAACGTGTACTTGTCCAACTTCAAGTTCAAGTGGTAATGATATCTAGATGCTTGGTTGCAGTGTCTATTAAAGGGGCAGACTTTCAGCACAGCCCCACACTGTAAAGGGTGATTATATTGTTCATTCCCTATTGAAATTAATTTACTGTATTTTTGAGAAAAGATTTCCTTAGTGACAAGCTCCAATTTCAGTGGAATTGAGTTTACTTCACCATCAGTTGACCATCAGTTGATTTAAACTTGTTTTCCTCTTCCCATTAGTAAACTTAGTTCCTGGAATGGCATACAAACTATCAGTACTTATTCACATGAGCTATCAAGTTTATAAATACTGCGATAAAACTTAGGAGATTCACTGATACTCGACAAATTACCTACAATGACAAGCAATTATTCACCATATTGATTGCAGGGACCAAATTTTCAAAGAAGTTTTTGCCGATAATGAAATTGATATGCGAGATGTTGCTGTAGAGATGTCATAGTGCAATTTTTTAGACTGTTAAAACATGCACATGTATTAGGTTTTCTGCATATATAATTTTACTGTGATGTCTATTTGTGAAACGAAATACCGTCTGTGTCAGAGGTGAAGTATGAGGATACTTCTTCATTAAAACTAGTCAGTCAGTGGTTGTGCTGATCTCGGAATCGTTGCTGGCTTTATTAAAAAAAAAAAAAACTCTGGTAGATGATGGCTGCTATTGCCATTGAAACATTGATCTCCTCTGCTCAAGTCTGATTCTTAATTCTCCCTTGTCATTCTTATTTTGTATCAAAAAGTTTTGTTTCGTCTATGCTGGGTACCAATTAATGACATAGAAATAACAGAGAAATGTGTAACCTTGCTGTCTTAAAATCTCTTCCTTGAAGTTACACATAATTTACGCATTTCTGTTTGCATTCTTTGAAAATAAAAATTAAAAAAACTGTAAGCAGGGTCGCAATATAAGAAGGGGAAAATGTTCCAATTAATTGATTGGTTAGGTGATAGCTGTGGTTTGCCTAGGAGTAGCTGCAAGTATCAGAGCTAATGAGTAATTATGTAGTGTGCAACCAGAGAAGGTAATATGAATATCTGGCTGTAAAATATGCAATGAATGCTTGTAATGGCGTGAGTGGTACTTCCATATTTTCACACAGCTGCCTAGCAGAGAGCAGTTATGACCAGATTTGAACTTTGACCTCATTTCTCGAATTTTGACCTAATTGTTTGAATTTTTCTGGTCTTGTCAGCGTGTTATCACCTGTTATTATGTGTCTTTAAGCTGGGATAACCCCCTGCTAAAAAATTTTTGATTATAGTATGGGAGGGTGATGGAATTAGAGTGTGGTGCAATTCAAAAAATACTAATTGGCTACTGGGTAATTGAAATTTACATCCTGAACATTTTGGGTCATCTAAGGTCACCACTAGAGGGCATGCCTAAAAAAAAAAGAAAATTAAAAACAAACAAATGTTTTGCTTTCTTGACATTTTTACAATAAGCTTTAATTGTTGTTAGTCTTACTTGGGATGCTAAGGATGCACGGCCATTCCCAAGTTACAAAACGTGAAAGGACCCGGCAAATGTTAATTTAATACGAGGCAGTTTTCTCATGCAGCACATTGTTAAACAGCAGCCGCCACGCTGCATACAGATTCAGGGCAGAATCACTTCAACTAAAAATATCTTTGGTTTTAATCTGTCATGATGTTATCGTTGTCTAATGGACATTGAGGAAGATGTACGTTAATATTATTGTATCAAAGAATTCAATTTGGGAAATCTTACGAATTGATATCGGCCAACCGTTAAGATTTACTCTAAAAAATGACATTAAGAAATGTCATCTCTTGTGATAACGTTACAGATCAAATAACCGCTCCAATCATCTCTGGCTCATGTAACTGTCGCTGGAATTAATTGCCCATGAATAAATTAAAGAATCGGGGAGAGCAAAATGGGGAAAGAAATGAAAATGGAATTACTCGTAAAAGTGTCATGGTGATGCGTCCTAAAAATAACTGCTGCATAAAATGTAGCGTTGTTATGAATTAGGTCATCTCATGTTTTATCGTTTTTTTTAGATAGCTCCTCCTCTCTTTCTTTCTCTGTCTGGAGAAAGAAATATGTAGTGAGCCATCTAGAGTGATTTGGCGATTTACAGTAACTATGCAGTCGACTGGAATTCATGATTTGAAATTTGTGAAGATTATACGTTTTATTTTTTTAAATATTTAAGTGTACACTTGTGCTGTCTTCATAGTTGAATTATTTTGAGATAATTTTTAATTTAACTTTAAGAAATGGTCATCTCTTTCATGGTTGTTACTGCATGTGGCATTTTCCTTCAGGTTTTTTTTTAATTTGTTGGGACAATTAAGGCAGCTTGAATCCTCTTTTTGGTGCTTTCTGTTTCATCGTCATCATCAGCTTCTTATAATCAACGAGTGGTCTTTTTTTCACCAAAATTTGGAAATAATTGAGAAAAGATCATACTAAGACTGGACAACATTATGACTTGATTTTTGGCAGTGAATAATCAGTGATACCGTATTTCACATGCACATACAATACATGTATCTAGAGATTCTATTAAGTTCTGTATAAATCTATGTACAATTAATTGTAATATAGTCACCTTTAATTTCAATAAATCTGTACATAACCAACATCCGCACGTAGGCCTAACAGAATACTTGCCATATTGGTTTACAAAGCTGGGCACGACGATTCCAGCCAAAAACATGTGAAAATACCAGCTGTAACAGGTGTACCTCGTTCCTGGAAATTTGATCTTTCCCACAATTCTCTGGAAATACTTCCTATGTCATTGATGAGATGTCATCTGTTTTATTATCAACTTTACATACTTTTTAACTTTCTTAAATCGTTAAAACGTATTAGTTTGTCACGTTTCGTAAAATTAACCTTTCTGAAATTTTGTCCCTATTTTTTTTTTCAAACATTTTGATAGGTTCCTGTAGACAATGATATCTACAAGTCTAAAATTATCAATCAAATTATGGAAAAACGCTGCTAAATTTGATTAATTCAAATTTTCAGCAGAATAAATGGCGGCGTTCATACTGAAAACGAACCCCTCAGTTACCGCCTCAGATGCTTCACAATGTATGCAAAAATCTGAGGAGCAAAGTGAAAAACAAACAAACATGGCAGACTTCTTTGTTTGAGTGTTGATAAATCATCATCATCATATTTACACCTTTCTATTCTAACCTTATTTAGATTTCACAGGGCATATCACAGAAATGTAGATACATCCACAGACCAATGTAATTTGATTCCAATGCCAATGACTCTTTGAATAAAATTATTGGAAATCAACCTGTTTTGGAATGAAATGTGCTTACTTTCTCAACAAAGCAAATATATAGTTAGAGAAGATGCATTGAATTGAGTTATTTTGGTCTAATGTTGTAACTAACTTAATGGCGAACTGGTAATATCATTTGCACAACTTCTGATCTATTCTTGGTGTCTTGTAAATGGTAGAAATCATGATAAATGTGAGGTTTTACTATTATATATTGTATTTTCTGTTGCCTGCTGTAAATTAGGAAGTGACGATGAAGATTCGGCATACGGAGACAAAGAGAACAGCGGAAGTAATCACATGACCGAGGATGAAAAACGTGTTGCTGAAATGGGAAAGCCCCGACTTGGCGATTTGATAAAATGTGAAGTAAAAATCTTGGAGAGTACAGAATTCAAGGTAAAGATGAGTTTTATGCAAATTCAATTGAACAGCATGCGATGATCAATCAGAAACTGTGACTCCGTTGGCTGCAAATTAGTGCTCGATTGTGGAGGGGTGGGAATGGTAGCTTCTGTTTCTGCAATATAAAATTAGCTTTGTGTAGAAGTTAGCAATTTAGTCACAAGATGTCATAACAGTGTGTTGTGAAATAGGAAGATATTGCTCAAGTCCTTTCGAGTTGAATTCAAATTTTGCACTACTGAGCATGTTACTGCACATATATGCAATGCATTGTGGGAGAAACCCTCCCTTTCTATATAATGGAAAACAAGTATCGCCTTGGAAATGATTTCACATCAATAATAATATACAAATATTTCATCCCATATGACACTAGCAAAACTTTGAGATATGAATGAATAATCTAACCATAGAAACCAGTGTGAAAATTACAATTTTGATCATTTTCTATGTTATTTCAAACTCTTGTCCGATGACCCCAATTTTTTTAATTTATTGCGGTATTCTGATTGTATGATATAATGTAAGAATGACAAACATGACAGGTTATTTTTAATTTGCTTTGAACCTGCTTAACAAAATTAAAATTTGGATTAGTATATTTTAAAATGTTTTAAGTAATTGAAATTACTTAATTTCAGGTACAACAGCAAAATAAATTCTCTCATCCAGAAACAATGTAATAAATCCAAAAGTGTATATTATATATTACACGATTTATTAAAATGATAATTTTGACATTTTATCCATTATTCTTGAAATTTCTACGCTCAGTTTGAACCTTATTACCAACAGAATGTATAACTGTTATAATTTATAGATTTCCAAAGAAATAAACAAGCAAATATTCAGGAATTTTGTGTGTAAAATGTGGCTTAGCATTAATTAATTTCATGGATTTAAGAATGATAAGATTGTAATATGATTGTAAAAGATTATATTTAGCTGTTTGAACCTGTTTTATTGTAATATATCAATATAATGGGTCTCTGTGTTGATTACTCTAGTTTATTTAATATTAAATTTCCCACTCCTTTATTTAAAGTTTTAATTTAAGACACAAAGAGATATTGTTGCAGCTGTGGATATTGTAATACTGATTGACAGATAATAATTATGGTTGTAAACTGAGATTTACTTGGGATTAACATTGAGGGTAAAAGCTTTAGATTAATCAGGACCTAGTTCCTCTCTAGGTCAAAACGAGGTCAGTTTAATAGTGACTTCTGGAGGCTGATGTCTGTGTGGGTAATTTCCTTCAGTAGAAATGATTATCATGCCAGTGATTAGGATTGTAGTCAGCACTGCGAAACGTTAAGGGGCGGTGTTCGTCATTCAATGCATGTTCTAGTTTCCTGTTAACATTGTATTTAACACGCATTGTTCATGTAGCTATATGACACTTGTCGTACACAACCCAACGCTATGACAACCATCCTTTAATAGAATTCTCTGTATGAATATCATATTAATTGTCTTATTTTATGTCTTGTATGGCAGTTACTAGTTTGATATCATAATTTTCAGAGAATTTACGTAATCCAGCGATTTTTAAAATATTACGGCCTGTGTCCACACTTGCACTGATTAATTCTAAGAATTTAAAAAAAATATTTTCGTCAAAACCAAAATAATTACTAGGCACTTTAGAGATATCGGTTTTTGTAAATGATATTTTATTGATAGGTGCATGTACATTTCATGCAATTTCATTTTTTTTTCCAGAACACTGTTGATAAGCTGATTAAGAAAGCCAACTTATCGTTGGTGGTCGGTACGTCATCCTGGAGGGAACAGTTCGTGGAGGCTGTAACTGTTAGCTCAGGTGAGTATGAGATGGATGAATTTGGTCATCAAATTCGTAGATTGATGTTGTGGCATTTTTGAGCACACCTTAAAAAAATGAAATTCTACTTTTATTCTCTTTCCCAGGGGATGAAGATGAAGATGGTGAAGAAAAACTCCCATCATGCTCTGACTATGTGATGCATTTCCTGTCTATTTTCTGGAAGATTTTATTTGCGTTTGTGCCCCCTACAGACATCTGGGGTGGCTGGGCGTGCTTTACCGTGTCTATTTTAATGATTGGATTATTAACTGCTGTAATTGGTGATTTAGCGTCACATTTCGGTTGTACCGTCGGACTGAAGGACACAGTCACCGCTATCTCATTTGTTGCATTGGGTACCAGTGTGCCAGGTATGGTTTCTATTTATTTCTTTTATCTCAGAAATAGGCACATGAATTTTGCAGTTCCCTCTTTTCATCACAAATTTACAAAATGAAGTCCTGTTTATAGTCTGCACTTTCCTTCAGAAGTTTTGAACAAAAACAGCCAATTTTGTGTAGTAAAAACTGTAAATTGACTCAAACATTATCTGTTGCCTGCAAAGTTAGGGTTCATTTCCAGAAATATTGAAGAATATGAGAAAAAAGTACAGAACAAATTTGGACGAGAAAGTCTGGTGGTGAAAAGGTTAACACAGCATCAGTGTGATGACTGAATAATTTATCAGATGTATGTGTAGAGGTTCTGGTTGATTTACATATCAGAGCAGTCTGTGTAAATCACCTATGCAAATCATATTCATACTTCTCTCCTTCCAACAACGATTTGAAGTGTGCCCTATGATAGTGTTCTCATTGGTTTCTGAATTTATCAAACATTGAAGCGGTTATATTTTAAATCGCCTAAAGTTGTCAAACTGTGTTGTGTCTGATGTGGGTAATGTATGTGTATTAAAGGTAGGTTCTCTGGTCAGCAAGTTGACAAAAGACACTAGTCCCCAAATTAATTTAGAAACGTAGCACAGGGCGACTGATGTGATCTTTGGATAACTAAACTACCGGTAATGCAATGAAGCGTCACACACCACAACAATTGTTCAAGAATAAGACTAATATGATATATGTTAAAGGTCACTAGCGACAGTGTCACGGCAGATAAACTCTGGGCGAATATTCTCGCGGAAAAACGTCCGCTACAATTCAGAGTGATGTCGTCTCACACTTTTAGTACCCACAGCTTCAATTTAGCAACTTTCCAACGATGAAAGTGCCCTTTTAATAAGCGACTTTCAGTTTTACCACCGTGTCCACACGTTCGTGAATTGTCCTCCTCTCACGCATGGTTTCCCCTTACCCCTTCTGTCAATCCGCGAGCGCGTGACCAGTTATCCCAAATTGATTAATAATGTGAATAAATCACGCGACAACAATCAAAATAAACAGATTAATTAGAACAAATAATAGGTCACTCATCAATGTGACAAATAAACACTGGGTATGGTACAATACAATCAGAACTATTTTCCAAGTCACATCACATGCGCTCCTTGATGTCAAAGTATAGAACTGTTTCACAGCGCAACATGTATATACCATAATCACCCTATTAGGCTGATCAGTCATATAACAACGTATCCACAATGTTTTACTAGCATAGAAATTACATATGGTTACACGTGTAAAATAGATTTGAAGACAGAGCCTCTACTGATTGATCAGAATATGTGATGTTTTTGTATTCTGGGAAAATGAGTAATGTACAAGAGACTGCAGTCTGCAGTCTGCAGTAATGCCTAAATTACTTTGCCATGTGGTTAAACTCTCCAAGAATATTTGAATGTGTGGATGTAATAGTTGTCAACATTTGTAACATTTGATATGCTGTTTTTCATTTCAAATATTATTCTAATAATCCTTGTGATTCTCAATTGTCTGTGTCTTTTATATTTTTTATTTCTCTTCCGTTCTCTTCAAAGATACATTTGCTAGCAAGACGGCCGCTGTCGGAGACAAATATGCAGATGCCTCAGTTGGCAATGTGACTGGTAGCAACGCTGTCAATGTATTCCTTGGTATCGGCTTGGCATGGTCGGCAGCCGCCATCTATTGGGCGGCCAAGGGTGAAGTATTTGAAGTGAAGCCAGGATCATTGGCCTTCTCAGTTACCATATACAGCATTTTTGCCGTGATTGCCATCACAGTCCTGATGATCCGAAGGAAACTACCTAACACTTTGGGAGAGCTCGGTGGACCTAAAACAACCAAAATAATCACCTCTTGTTTTCTAGTGGGGCTTTGGCTACTCTATCTGTTACTGTGTTCGTTTGAAAGCTACTGCTATATTGAGGGATTCTAAAGGATTCTATATGTGAACTAACTTATGATCAACTTCAAAGTAATCAGCGATGAACAGGGATAAAATATCAAAGAAGAGCAACAACAATGGTTTTCTGTGGCAGGAACAACTGAATGAATATAGCCGAGCTAACAAACTAAATAAGTCTAAGTAAGAAGTTTTTGTAAATGATTGAAACAATTGGAACCATAAATACAGCAGTGGTCATTTGGAAGTGAACAACAAATACGGTACATTTCACCCATGAAATAATTAAGCTTGGGTTGACATCATTATAACCATCGAATAAACATGTATTCCGTCTTTTTTCCAGAAAAAACAAAACAATATTCAAACCACAATCATTTTTTAATCAATAATATTTGCAAGGGAATTTCTCCACCAAGATAAGTATGAACAAAATCATTGAAATCCAGCTTTTGTGGAAAATAATAATATTAATAATTAAAATTCCAGCCAGAGCTTGCAACAACAAAAATGGTGGAGGGAAGTTACACCATGTCTTTTTTCATGCAGTTGTCAAAATAAACGTTTAAAGATAACTGCAGCCAGCATGGCATTGTACTTTCAAATTTCATGGCTCTGGCGCAGATTAATTTTTTGACAAACGGGTTGTCATTTTTGTTGTTAGATTTATCAAGAATATTTCTTGTCCCATTTTCAAGTATTTTTTTTTTTAAATCAGCCTGTTTACTTACACCTTGCAACTGTTTGTAAAGAATACATTTAACTGTTTTGTTGATTACAAGACGTTGTGTTATAGTTAGTCCTAGGACTAGCATTAATTGTCTTTGTGTAAGACAACCAACATGATTATAATTTCTCTCCTTACTAAACAAGTAATATCCCTTGGAGGGAAAGATTTATGGTAATTTCTGGTTACCATCACACTTTGCTATAACGCCTAACCATGAAGTTAGGTCCTGATTAAAACCACTGAGGCAAATAAAATAAATGATTTTGCTTAAAACAGTGATAAGTTGCACACTCGTTTGATCATCAGTTTTACTTAGAATAAAATATGTACAAAGAAAGATGAATAATTGTAGTAAAATGCACTTTAACATATTTAACACAAACACTATTAACCCTGGTTGCATTTAACACAAACACTATTAATCCTGGTTGCATTTGACACAAACACTATTAATCACGGTTATTTTCATTTTTATACACAGTAATTTATGTGCAATACTTTTTTGTTTATATGTATATTCTAACTTATATTTTTTGCATTCTTCACCAGGGTATGAATAAAAAAAAACAACTAAATAACACAGCATTTTATTTTAAGTTTGTTTTCTGAGACTAATAAATAAATATTGATAGATTAGGGGTTGCACTCAGCTTTATAACTTGATTTGCTAGTTAGTGGGTTTCTGCTTGAATGGGATTTAATAGTTCTCTGCAGCAAATAATACTAATTTACCTCTCTGTTTTAAAGTTGTTTTTTAATGATGTGACATTAAGGTTTTTGATAATCTACCATCAGCACTTTAAACAGAATAAGATTCTAAAAAAAAAAAAAAAAAATTATGTATTCATGTAAATATGAACCTCATTGGGTATAGAGATAGTTGTCGATAATTATAGATGAACCTAGTATTTCAGATTTTAGGGTAGATAGATTTGCTATAGCGATAGCCTTATATAGTAACTCTCACTCCGTTAATTTCATATGTAAATAACGCCTGTCACATATTAAAAATAGATGGATAGATCAAGGAAAAACATTTTTCACAATAAGAAAAAAAAAAATCATAGTTTTAGATTAAATCAGTTTGAGTAGCTCTTACCATGATTGTTGTTTTATTCTTGGATTGAGTGGGTGTGCTGGTGGGAGGATGGACGTCGTCGTGTACTGTACTTTTATTTACACTGGATTAAATACTCAGATTGAGGAAACTCTTTTGTTTTCCTCACAGCCCCCACACCCTTGTACAAAATAATAACTGAGATTATCAATGAGTATGATATTAATTGGTAAAAAGTTAAAAGAAGGCTAGTTTATCAAGTTGTTGTTAATCCAGTGTGTTAATTTGTAATTCGATTAATTATCATAATAATTACCTGGTGTATTTTACGTTCATGGTTTTTGATACTTCCATTTCGCCACTTTCAAAAAAATTATTGTTCTATTTTGTTGTCAAGGCCCCCTAACTCTTTAAATATAGTTTTACAATATTTTGTTATTACATATGGTGTGAGAAAATTGTTTTGTAGCTTAATGTAGTATATCCCTCAAGGAACATTTCAAATTTTTTCCTTCACACTTTTAAGGTTTTTACTCTTATATAACAAAAACTGACTTGGTGCGTTGATTTTAGTGTTGTGATATTGGTCTGTGATTCAATTGATTTAAAAACAAATCAGAATAATTTGACGTAAATGGGCGTGGTCATTGGTTATGCATCGCAGAACTGCCCTCGTTTGCCGAGTGAAAATTCGAAGTGTCGTATCTGACAAAGTGGAAAGATTATCTTCTCATACAGAATCTCCAGTATAGATTTACAATGTGAAATCGGTTGATTGTATCATTTCACTGAGTGATTCCTTGGTGCATCTGAGGCAGTTCTGTCGATGCACGCAGTGACTACGGCCGTCTACGCTTTTGAGTCTGTTGTATAATAATTGTGTGTTACGAATGTAATAACATTTTTTAGCTTTTAAATAAATGACTAAATAAATTAAGAGGGAACTTTTATCGTGGAATTCAAGGCTAGCTGATAGGGTAATAAAGATTTGACAGTTTTGATTAGAACATGACATTTTTTTCTTTTTTTACGAAAATTGAAACAAGAAACTATTAGCATATTTATTTCTCACCTACATGTATGTCCATTTTTTTTGATCATCAGCTGAGAGATGTACATTTCAACTTTTCGGATCTGATCTTCATCCCAACTAGGGTAGCTTTATTGCACCCGGTTTATTTTCATAACTGATTATGTCAGAAAGTTATAATATGCGCAGTTTTTTTGAAAACAAAACACAATCCATGTTTTCACGTTTTTTATCAATTATTTTGGATTCAATCCAGTGCTGCCATTTTTAAATCATTTTTTTTTCCATAAGACAATTAAAAAAAATGGCGTACATTTCCACTTCGTTTATCACAATAAACCCTGCGCTGTTTGGTTGTATACGTTATCAGTTATGGAAATTTGCCAGCATTATAGGTTCACTGTTATTTGTCATTCAAAGTTTTGTAGCTCGATTACATAATGTAAATTCTTTGTTATGCAAACATTCCCAATTGGGGTTGATGACGACGCTACATCCAAGGAAAAAGTTACCAACACACAATGGTAGGAAATTCAGATTCACCATTTTGATTTTCCGGGGAGAGTGGCGGGGAAACCCCTCTTACCACACAATTCATCTGAAGCTTATGAAGTATATTTGATTGTGACTATTTTGAGTTTTGAAAGAACATTTAAGGAAACGTTTCTCACCACGTGATACTCGATTACCCCTCCCGTGTGTGTTATTATTAAAATGATGAGAAATGGATGTGGAGAAATACTTTGGTGGGAACAGATGAAATGAAATTGGCGATGAATGACAAAGTTGCACTTTGGAGTGTCATGCTTTTTAAGTCTTGTCATTGTTTTTTCTCATGTTCTATACTATGTATAAAAAAAAAAGATACCAAGCACTTTCTTTTTTTTAAAACACCAAACCTTGTAAAGCTGAATCTGTTTTTTTCTGTCCTTACATTTCAGAGTAGTTGATTAATCCTTTGGATTTTTCTGATGTTTGCCACACATTATGTATATATCTCTACATAGAAAAACGGGAATAAACGCTTCCACTCCCAGCATTCTCTAGTCCGGCTGATTATTTAATAATGTGTGCATCAGTGTTCGCTTCTCTCAGAACGAGTGGAAGGGGGGTGTTGTACATCTCAGAATTCGAAAATCTGTACTGATCTAAATTTCGAATGGACATCACATATAAAGTTTGCGTTATGTTCGATGTGCAACTCGTAGCGACGTACACATGTGCAATACTTTGTTTACAAGAAATTCGAACATATGCTGTGCGATGACCGCTTTTTAAAACTCTGATCAAGAGCCAGAGTCCTTGCATGCTTTCATGACTCCATGCTAATTCTAAAGACAAACTAGACTATTCTCAAAAGTATGCTAGGACGATCATGAACTGGCAGCATATAAACCTGACAGCGCAAGCTCCAAATGGAAAATTTTTGTATCATAATATAAACGGAGAATCTGTGGGAAGAGTGCTAGTATAGACAAATAAGTAAGCAACAGTTATGTCTAAGATTAATTGCTGTTGAATCTTACGGCAATGGTGTGGCAAATTGGAAATGTTAAGTTCATCAGAATGGCCAGTAGCAACATCTGTGCTTATGAAAACAAAGGAAATTTTGATTTTTGCTTAAATTTGTGTTGGATTTTGGTATTTTACAAAGCAAAATATGCATATTTAAAAGTTAAAAAAACAAAAAAACTATTTATTTATTTTTTCATCATTTATTTTAATTTGTATATCAGCATTTTCACAAATTTAACTTTTTTGATTTGCTGAACAAAAACTGTCACTGCTCTTTGTACTAATTGCTGTGTTGTCTTTCCGTCTCCTGTTATAATTGGATAAATCCAGTAAATATCTTATACAATGGTGACTTCAGACTTTAAATAAAATAATCTGATATCGGCAGCACATGGACTTGGAATGTGTTTAAAACTTAACTGTATAATTGGGGTTCTAGCCGCATTGCATAATTTGTTAGTTATTTGGCAACTTTAACCCCAAAATATTTAGCCTATAACATTTTTTGCATCAACAAATTTATAGGTAATATAGGTAATACCGGTAGTTATTATTAAGAACACATTTGTACGATTAACTTTTTTATCGTTTGTTCTGAAATAACATTTCAAAAATGAGTGCGTGTGTGAATTGTGGAAAACATGATATCAAAAACAGGGTGACCCCCCCCCCCTATTCGCACAATCAAAAACTGGGTAACCCCCCTACTGATCCACCCCCCTAGGCCAAAGTAACTGACCAATCCCTTAGGATTTTTAGATCTGGAAAAAAAATTATGTGCATACTCAGCAGAGACTTGTTAATCAACCTGCCAAGTTTCACTGATATCTGCTGCAGAATTTTTGAGAAAATGTTGGAGACCGAAAACGAATAATGGACATTGACAAAATCTGTTGTAGAAAGTCTCCTTTTCAGGCTGTGCCTGAACGGGGACTAAAAAAAAGGCTAAACTTGTGATTCTGAATAGAGGTCATTGTTAAACAAAATGCAGTTGGAGCAATAGTATAATTGTTAACTTGGTTGCTACCCTTCAAACACACAACTGCAATGCCCTTAAGCACACAGGATTTCTTTCAAAGCTTTCTTTAATTTGGGTAATTTTATTATCAACATTTTTCATTTTCTTATTCAAACCATTATTCAGAGTTCTCATTAGTCATGGAGTGCTTACATTACATCTTCCCAAGTTGGTTTCCCAAGTTGGTCATTAATAACAGTCATTGCAATTGCAGAAATGTCCATTGCAATTGCAGAAATGTCATGCCCAAGAAACAAAATAGGAGTCATCTTATCTGATCACAAATAAAACTACATGCACATATGCAAATCAATTGTCATGTGACCATAAAAAGCATGTCAATATATTTTCAAAAAACAAGATGGCTGCCATTTGGCAATTTTAGATATAACCGCGAAACAAATCATCATGGACATGCATCTCAACATTTAATTTGAATGAAAACTGACAAGCATTGTCAAAGATGCCACATTTTTCAAAAAACAAAATGGCTGCCAGTTAGCCATCTTGGATTGAATCGCTAAAATCACTGCATTTGGTTGAACGAGGACTAAAAAATGGTACATGTGACAAAATCCATTGGCTTTCAAAGGTCAAAATGACCAGAGTTTATTTATGTTTATATTCACAAAATCCTCCAGCCCATGCATCCACTAATTTCCAAATGGAGAACATCTAATCAAGTTTGGTTGTGATAGTTAAGTGAGGACACTGCTGTATATATTTCACAAATCGGCCAAATCACATGGATAACATTTATCAAGCCACTCACAAACTAAAACAACCGCAACCGACAATGAAAAAGGCAACCATGTGCATTCATCTATTCATGTTTATGCATGCTTTACTTGAAGCGACATTAATGAAAATGTCAAAATTGGTTTAATTATTTCCTAAATAGCTAAAGACAACAGCATAAAAAAAAAAATACCAAAGTAACGTCAGTTTGACACTAATTTTGACAGTCAAGGAATGTTATAATTAAAATCACTTTTGATGCAATTACATTTTATTCGAAAATATGCAAGACATTAATTTGATGTATTTTTTATTCTAAGTCCCTGGGGAAAATGCAATGAATATTCATAAGTTAATCTCTGAAATAACATTGAATACCGGTAGATTTCATTGACATGAATAAAGACACATAATAAAGAAAGCTTTCCACTCAAAAACTGCTTGATCCACACACATGTATGAAAGTGACACATTAATTTTACGTTCTATACAAATAAATTTTATTAAGGAAAACAAACACACTGAGTGAATTTAACCAGTGATTGATCTCAAATACATATGCCCATCTAAACCAGAAAGTCAATATTAAGTTATGAGTTTAAATATTAATTTTGACCTTCACTTGACATGATCCTGATTTAAAAGATATTTCAAATATCTTTTGAATTCAAAATAAACGACACATTTGAGCGTGTACACATACATTGCTACATATTGAATGGACACAGTTTTCAATAACTATGGCCCTTTCAGTAAAAGTGGTAGCTTTTAAATTTGATCTCAAATATTTATACAGCATCTGACCGCCAATAAGTCAATTGGGCAATATTAAGTAAAATCTATGAATGTGGGATTGCGTGTACAATCATGACAGCTGTGTCTGTGAATACAAGAGAAAACATATATCACACGGTATTTAAAAAGACTGCCATGTAACCACCTTTAATCAATTGTTGCTATAGCAATATTCGGTTCACTAGTAAACAGTTCTCTCTTTGCTTGACTTAAAACAATTTTGGATATAATGGACGAGATCAGATGCTGCATCAGAAGGGAGAAATAATAGACATCCGCACTGATATGCAAATACACATACTGATGCCATATTTTGTATTCAAAACAACAAGAGTTTCATGCAGTGTGACGCTCAATGATTAAAATCATTCTGTACACAGACATGATTTTAGGCTTTATTCAAATGAAGAATAAAAATTTGAATTTTAAAAACATAATTAGTTACATGTATTAATTTAAAATTTCACCCGAGATGAGAGTTGACGTTACAAAATAGCTACCCATCTCCTCATCCCACCTTTCAACCCTCATGATTCTAAAAAAAAAAAAAAAAACAGTCTTGCATTTCTTCTTGCTTCTATTGATGTCACCAATACTTGACCAGCAGATGTTTCCTCACCCTTGCATCCATGCACATATCATCAATATCGCTGACTGCGTGGAAAGACACTTCACAGGTACAAGAGAAAACGCTGGTAGTGTTTCACATACCTTCTCAAAGCACCTCACAAAAGCTGCGAGAAAAACACAGATAATCTGTAGTAAAGTCTACGACATTTTATCAATAATAGATTGCGTAATGGAAAATACGCACATAAAAAAAACTGTTTCGCCTCGCTGCTCCTAAAACAGCGCAACTCACCATCGTGAAGATCACTGTGGTGTAATACATCCTGGTGGTAAAATACTCTTAACATTTGCATATTTTTCCATGGCAACCCTTCTTTCTTTACATCTTCCACAATATTGGGCATAACATTCCGAAGATCAATGACTTTACTCTCATCGTGGACCTCTATAAATGAAGTGCATAGTTTATTAATTCGCAGCAGAGGAGAAGGCGACACTGAACATGTTGGTGCGTGGAGTAGAAATACAAGTATGGGGGAATTATACTGATAATTTGAGATAATGAAATCATTTAACAAATACATACAAACTCATGAAAATACGAAAAAGAAAAAAACGATGACAACAATTTTTCAAATACAGACAGTTAAAAATGAAATTTGAATACCGGTAATATAATTTGCATCTCCGCAAATTAATTCTCGTTAAAGCCATGGGGTAGCAGTTCGTTTCCTGGTTTTTCTTCATTATTTCTGATGCTCACTAACTACTGCCATAAAATATGCATAAAGTATGCATTTTTCATGGTGTTTTAGACACACAGCCACTCATCTACTTACAATGCAAAATACTATGTCTATTCTATACATAGAATACAAATCTCAACTGTGTTTTTTTTTCTTTCCTGTTACTCTAAATAAATGATAGAAAACTATTATTTTAGCTTCTTTTTATTGTATGTACCTTTAAAGTAGCATGATTTGCTGGGTCTATAAATTGTAGCAGATTTAATGTTGCAAGGTTATTCTATAGATATTTAATTCACTGGTTTGCGAAAGAAACAATACATTCTATGGCTAACTTTGCATTCACAACAATTTTTGAAAATAAACACAACTTATATCGATCAGCGAGATAAGTGAAAATGAAACCCAGCTAATCATTCGGCTCTACAAAGTACTCAAGCATGCAGCTAAAATGTAGTGTCACCGATTTTATTGAAAAGTATAATACAGGCATTAATCTATAAACTTTCCAACTCAACACATAGAAATCAAAACACATTTATGACGTCACGCGAACTGGAATATTAATGAGAAGGACATATGAAATAAACTGTCTCTCCTGGATTTAAAGTTGTTTTATATACCGAGTGTGACTTGCAGCGATCCCAAGCAGTCTTCCAAACTAAAACATCGTTGACAGCTTATGGTATAATTATTCCAGCCTCTGGAGCAGTCGCTGTAATCTGTGGAGTACATTAAAATACATTTGACAGTATGTATACATTTGTATGTGTCTCACTTAATGAGGTATGGGAGAGAAGGCTGTGTTTATGTAAGTTTTAGTTACCCCAGTAAAAGTATTTGTTTATTATTATTTACACCACTGGGGATGGTATATTTTTGTAGCAAACATTTTCAGTGCTATAATCATAAATATATAAGTTGAACTTGACTTTGAAATATAACCAAAGTCACCCACTCAAATGTCACATGAAATGAAAATAACGAAAAGCACATTAAAATAAATCATGGTAATCACTTAAAATTTCCAGGGGAAGGGTAATTGCTTCTTTCTTGGTAACTCTAGACATGAATTTAGGTTTTTATATTGATATAAGTGCAATAAAACATTTTGAACTATCAAAATCTTACTACACAGTTCATGATCAGAGTTTACAATAAGTCAAACAAGCATACGAATTGTAGAAATCAAATGATCTCCGGCAAAATAAAGAACCCACTGAAGCATAATGGCGGTAACATTGCAATTGGCAATCAATACTCAACAATGTCCAATCAGACTGCACAATACCAATACTGTGCATGTATATTGTTAAAGTTATCAATGCATGAACACAATCATTTGTTGGGCTATAAAGATTTACTGTCAGCCCCTGGAGTTTATATACATGTACTGTCAAAACATGTACTGTGTTTAATCCAATTAGAAGCACACATGCTTAATATGGTCAAAATGTTATATTTTAATAATCTAGCATACAATTATTGCAATTTTTGGTTTCAGTGTGTTTGAGATTTGCTTCTAATAGAGAAAATATAATATTGCACAGTTTATTTGAAGGCAATTATAACAAAATAATTTTTAGATAATTTTTAGAATTACTTTTGATTAACAATGGCAAATACAAAACAGAAATGTATGTATGAATTACTGACAATAAGTACAGATGTATTAGTCAGAGTTAAAAAAATAACTGGCGACTATAGTGCCAATGCCTTACGCATGGCCCTAGAAAGGTCACACATCCTGGTACTTTGCATGACCTCAGAAAATGTCACAAATCTGGGTATTTATGCATGACCCCTAGAAAGGTCACACATCCTGGTATTTTTCATGACCCCAGAAAGGTCACACATTCTGATACTTTTGCATGACCCCTAGAAAGGTCACACATCCTGGTATTTTGCATGACCCCAGAAAGGTCACACATCCTGATAATGTATGCATGAGCTTAGAAAGATCACATATCCTGGTATTTTGCATGACCCTAGAAAGGTCACACATCCTGGTACTTATGTATGACCCCAGAAAGATCACACATCCTTGTTTCTATGCATGACCCCTAGAAAGGTCACACATCCTGGTACTTATGCATGACCCCTAAAAAGTCACACATCCTGGTACTTTGCATGACTCCAGAAAGGTCACACATCCTGGTACTTATGCATGACCCCAGAAAAGTCGCACACCCTCGTACTTATGCATGACCCCAGAAAAGTCACACATCCTGGTACTTATGCATGACCTCAAAAAGGTCACACATCCTGGTACTTATGCATGACCCCAGAAAAGTCACACATCCTGGTACTTATGCATGACCCCAGAAAAGTCACACATCCTGGTATTTATGCATGACCTCAGAAAGGTCACACATTCTGGTACTTATGCATGACCCCAGAAAAGTCACACATCCTGGTACTTGTGCATGACCTCAGAAAGGTCACACATCCTGGTACTTACTTACTTACTTAGATACAAATTCACTATAAATGAGGATATCTCAATCACATTTCCAAGAAAAATATATGTAATATCCATTGAAGTTAAACATGTATAGTATGTTTTGTATGATATTGGTAATTATTGCTATAATAGAACAATACTTCACAAAATGCCAGGATGTCTGACCTCGTGCATTAGACTTTTATTATTTATTTGCATGCATTTTTTTTAAAAATTCACCAGTCTCTAATGGTCAACATCTTGCATGTAAACTGAACTATATATATATATATATATATATATATATTGAGAAAGTCGTATAGCAATCAAAGTCTGTTGCTTTTATACAGCAATCAAGTGAAAGGTTTTGTGTTAAGGTTTCATGCCAAAGGCATGTAAGTACATGTGGGATTGCTTCCGTGTAGTCAGTGTATGAGTTTCAATTACAGAATGGCTTCAAGATAGATGTTTAGTTTAATCAAAAGCAAATGTCATCCCAGTACATGCCCCGATTAAAGGAAGCAACCAGACAGACAGTAGCGATACAATGATAGGAAACAAAATATAGCATTGAATGTCTGCATATTAAATAAAGAAAAAGAATTCAGAATGGATAGAAATGATGTATTTGCTTGGGATGATTTATTGCTTACAGGGCAAAGTGAGGAAGCTCAGAAAAAGTACATTAATATACCTGGTATGTTTAACAAGATTTTGCCGTGGAAAGTACCGGCTAAAATTTAGTTGAGAACAATTCTGACCAAAATTGAAAAAGAACATTATTACTACCGGTAACATCTAGTTCTCATGATCAACAACATAAATGTTTTCATTCCCTTCACTGATTCACAAACATTTTCTATTTGCTAAATTTTACCAGAAAACAATAGTTCTAAGTGAAATCTCATCAATATCTTGAAAAAAAAAAAACACATACCAAAATTGAACATGTTCAAAATTTAAAATTAGTTAGTAAAATATCCAAGACCACAAAAAATACTTTATACTGGAAACAAAAATAAGGACAGACATTTTCCATTTGTATACCTTTTCCTTCACATCTATGATTTGGACAATGTAAAGACTAACGTATTAACCTCAAATTCACATATTCCTGATTACTCACAAAAAATTGATATACACGAACAAGATATTGCCCCCAATTAAGTTATTTATTAATAAATAAGGTTTTAAGAGTCTATCACAAGATAACTGCCCTCTAAATTAATAAGTTGATTTGCATAGTAATAAGACGACTCAAAGTAATTAATCAAATTCTACCACCAACAGACAAGATTTTTGTTTTTAGTCTACATTTTTTTCTGTTATTTGATTAGGTCTGGGAAGTTAATTTTAGAAACTCTTTAGTGTCATCGTAAATAGTGCACATCTTCAAGAGAATCACTCAGACACCAAAATATTACTTATTTTGACTCTTTTTGATACTAGAAAATTGTCTAGGGTCTTTGACTGAAGATGCACTTCTATTAGTGCATTATTTGTCACTGTGTTTTGAATGACTTTTAATCTTTCGAAGAATAAATTCCAACCAGGGCTTCTGGCCACAGACATAAAAAACAAAAGTATAAACAACTTCAACTTACATTTCCAAGTTTGTTTGTTTGTATGAGCAACTACATGCCACTCCACTAATGCATTTTTAGGCAGTGTTGGTACAACTACATACGTCATCAGACCAGAACGGTCATTGTCATCACCACAGTAACCATTCATCTAAAAAAACAAGGAAAGATATCACAGAGTATTCATCAGCAGGTCAACACATGTGCATCTACAATTGCAGTTTACATTGTTCAAAATGAGATGTCATGATTGTACTTTTGTACTGGATACAGTACCAGAATAGTCACATGTGAAGTACTTGGGTAGTCACTGCCAACTTGACTTGATAGGACCTAATGTTAACTTGTTGAAAGTTTCCAACAGTATCATTTTGGTCAAGTTAGTTAAACTTAATTGTTACTTTCATACCTAATTCGATTTTCTATATGATTGTAATAAATCCTATGAAGAGTAGAGTTATAGTGGGAGCCATGCAAAAAATGTATAATTGTATTTAGAGAAAAAATGGTACTGGTATATGAAAACACATCAATCCCAGTTTACAGGGGTGCCTGTAAATTCAGTCTAGTAGAAGGGAGGAGAAGGGACAAAGTTACAAAACAAGATGGTACACAATATACAGATAATAGTTCAGCCACACAGTCCTTCTTAAAATGTCTACAATAAAATACCTAACTAATATGTGTTAGATATGCTTTCTATATTGAAGAGCACCCTCTAGTGGTGAAATGATGAAGTTGGTAGTTGAGCGTGGTAACTGAGCGTCTCAGTTTTCACGAAGAAACGAGTTGAGCGTACGCTCACTTTCAAAAGAAAGTGTGGAAACAAACAATGGAATGCTCAAGTGCGCTCATTTTCAAAAGTAAGTGTGGGGACAAACCATGGAATGCTGATAATGTAATGAAAGCATGGACGTCCATGAAGAAAGCTACGCTCAGTTTAACATGAAGTCGATACAAGTTCGTTTCAGAGGTCCAACTTAAGTTAAAAATTCCAATTTGGATATATAACATATTCACGTGAGGGGATGTTTGTTAAAACAGAAGCAACCATATTTAATTAAATATTCACGCAGTTCGAACCCTATGACCTTGTAAGATGGACGCGTCTGGTAATGAGAGACTACGCTCACTTTTACAAGTAATGGTAGGCCTGGAAACAACAATGGAATGAGGAGTGCGTGTGTCTGATTTCAAGTAACCACAGTAGAGGGACTGTGAAGTAACCATATATTTAATAGTAATAAAGATGCAACTCTGACGTTTGTTTTGTCTTGAGTGTGTGAGCTTGGAACCAAGCAATAGAATAGAGTGCAATGGAATTGAATACAATAACAGAATTGTATTATGCAGTCGTGATATTCTCTTCTCACTTGGTGTTCTTTAGACAGGAACCTATATTATAATACATACTAGTATTCAAATATATCTAACTTTTCAAAAACTATAGTTTGTGAGAAGAGTAAGGCAGTTGAAGTGACCTAAACATCTTGTGGATAACTTATGCTGCAGAAAGAGAGTATTTGAAAATTTGTTTTTATAAAAAAAAGTTAGTATTAATTTAATGTGTATATAATACTTGTATCATGAATAATAGCATACCAAATCAATTTGTTCCAGGGCATAGTTCCATTCCCTCTTAGCCACGGGTATAAATGCTTGATTTGTGACATAACAAATACACTGTAGCACATGAGACAAATCAAGTCTTGGATTCATGGCAGATAGCACTCTACACACACTACGTAGTGATAGCCTGGTCTGGGGATGAATACCGCCCTCTATCAGCTCCATTGTGCTGGGACATAGTCCAATCTGTCCAGCTAAGAAAAAGGCATTACCCAACTAAAAACAAGAATGAATGGATGTCAGTTAGAGTTCAAGTTTGTCCCCAAATTCAATTTGGATATCCTTTATTTAGTTTACAATATACC